TGCATTCCCCACGGACACAGACAGCGGGGTGCTGGGGGGGGGGGGCGGGCTGGAGGGGGTAAATGGGGGCATATATAATACTTTCAACAATAATTATTTTAAAAAGTAGTAATGATGGGATAAAGGACATTAAAGTCAATAAATTTATAACCCGAACTTGAACATTGCTCCAGAGTATTCAGTAGAAACAGCTGTGTTTGATGTTTAAAGCAAAAAGGTTGTTTTCGCTATAAATACGGTCACGTGGCAATAGCCCTTCCGGAGCCCCACCCCGGCCTTAAAGCGGGAGCCGGTGGTTGTGAGCAAATACAGCTACAAGGAAAGCAGGTGGCGGCAGAGGTCAGAAGCGGCCCCCTAAGTCACTAAAGAGCAGCAGCCCGCTGTCGCCGTAGCTGCTGTGCCTGGGACATTTTTAAAAAAATTGATTTAAGAGAGGAAGGGAGAGGAACATTAGTGATGAGAGAGAATCACTGATCGGCTGCTTCCTGCACGCCCCCTACTGGGGATCGAGCCCACAACCCAGACACGTGCCCTAACCGGGAATCCAACCTGGGACCCTTTAGTCCGCAGGCCGACGCTCTTACCCACTGAGCCACACCAGCTAGGGCTCTTAAAAAAAATACACACACACACACACACACACACCCCATATTTTCCGGCGTAGAAGACAACCCTCTAATTTTTACAGTTAAAACATAGGTTTAGGTCTGTATTCGCTGTATAAGACTACCCCCCACTTCAAAGAAAAGACTTACTTTGCCATCAAGATCTGCAGGTAATTTTTGTGCAATTTTGGTCTTTTGCCCCTGATTTTCGGTTGACTTTTTTTCGTTTCAAAGGTCGTCTTATACTCTGGGAAATATATTTTTTTTTACAGAGAGGAAGGAAGAGGGATAGAGAGCTAGAAACATCGATGGGAGAGAAACACGGATCAGCTGCCTCCTGCACGCCCCCCACTGGGGATCAGCAGCCCAGGCTCAGCTGCGGAGCCCCGCCGGGCGGCCTAATGCCGAGTGGCATTGCACCATCTTACCCTGACTCTGCAGTCACAGTCCCCGATGGGCTGGCATCTCCGCACGGCCAAGCAGAGGACTGAGAGAGAGGCCAGGTCCCCCAGCCCCTCCCACCGAGGCCCACGCAGCCCGCCTCCCCCCATGGCCTTGGGCACAGGGTTGGGGTCGCCCTCCAGAGCCTTCACATAGGCGACCTCAGGTCACAGAAAAGCCTTTGAGGCCACACAGGCGAAGGGTGAGGGGCGGGGCCGGGCTGGCCGGGAGGACCTGTGCGCACAGGTGAGCCTCCTGGTCAGTGCGGTTTGGGGTGGACCCTATGGGTGGGCCATGGTGCCTGCGTCCCCCACACATACACACAGGTGCTGCCGGCGCCCCCTGGCCTCACCCACCCTGGCCTCTCCAGCCTGGCCTCTCCAGCCTGGCCTCGGCGCTCCTGCCCCACCCCAGCAAGGTCTCCTGAGAAACCGGAGGACACAGGACAACAAGACAACAACTAAAGACACAGAGAGTGAATAGAACCAGGTGAAAGCAAGAGGAAGAACAACAAAACTCCAAAAGAAAGTGGTTTCTTTAAAAATAAAAGCAGTTTAATTTGCGTTCAGTGTAACAACCTGCAGCCTGTACACTCTCAGGAACACAGCTGAGGCGACGGGCGAGCCAGGAACTGGGATTCTGAAAACCATCGCCCACCGTTCCAGGAAACACGTGCCCAGAAGCCCCGACGAGAGGAGGCCGCAGGCCCCGCGCTCACACACGTGCTTCCCACTCTGTGCGTGGGCTTCCCCCGTGCGGTTTTTAACCGGAACCAACTCGGCCTCAACAACCAAAAAGCACGAGCCTGCTGGTGCGTGTGGACCCCTCCTCCCCGGCCGGCCGGCAGTGTCCTCCCCTCTGGCTGGCGAGGAGCCTGTGGCGGAAGCTCAGCCGCCTGGAGGACCGGGCTCCGGGCAGGAGGTGAGGCCCAGGCCCTGGCCGCCCTGGAGGGGACGGTGAGGAGGCATCGGCCGGGGCCGTGAGAAGACGGTGAGCCAGGCAGTCTCTGTTACGTGGAGCAGCTGCTTCACGTGAACAAGGAGTGTGCAGCTCTGTGTTCTTTGTTAAAGTTGCATTTGTCCGAGCTCTGATCAGCGTTTGACAGAGATGAAGGGAGAGAGATAGTTAGAAACATCAATGGGAGAGAAACACCGATCAGCTCTGTGAAAATAAAAACAACAGCTAAGTCCTAATAGCCCTGGCCAGGTGGCTCAGTGGTTGAGCATTGACCTGTGAGCCAGGTTGGTTCTTGGTCAGGGCACATGACCAGTTTGCAGGCTCCATCCCCGGTGCGGGGTGGGCAGACGGCAGCCGATCAATGATTCTCATCATGGATGTTTCTCTCTTTCCCTCTCCATTCCTCTCTCTGAAATGAATAAAAGCATTAAAAAAAACTCTTTAAAGAATCATTCTACTATTGGTCTGCAAATGGTTGCTCGCCCTTCTCTGCTGACTCGTTACTCTTGTGATTCTTTCCTCTCTTCGCACCACAGTGATGGGAGTTCAGGATGGAGCCCTCCTGCTGCCGCCCAGGCCCCTTTCAGACCGTGTTGTGCTCTCGGTGCCAAGGTGGGATGCCCTGGCCACGAGGCTGCTGGCACCCAGGCCCAGGCGCTGAGCCGAGTTAGCCAGGCCCAGGCGCTGAGCCGAGTTAGCCAGGCCCAGGCGCTGAGCCGAGATAGCCAGGCCCAGGCGCTGAGCCGAGTTAGCCAGGCCCAGGCGCTGAGCCGAGTTAGCCAGGCCTTGGGAGATGAGTTAATGAGACTCCGGGCAGCTGAACTGACTTAACCAGGGCCAAGGCAGGAGGGCTGAGATAACCAGGCTTAACCAGGCCCAGGCAGCAGCTCTGAGTTAACCAGCACTGGGCTTCACTAGCAATGCTGCCTGCACAGCTTTGGGGCTTTGGGGGGACAGTGGTGGATTTCCAGCCATCAATCTAGAGGCTTCTAGCTTCACTCTGTTTCTATAATGGGAGGAGGTGAGCTCTCAGGGTGACGGCTGCTTTCAGTGCTGGCTCCCCGTGCGGGGCTCGGCTCTCACCTGCCTTCCTTACACCGGGTCCTCTGCAGGTGCCTCTAGCCCTGGGGCGGCGGGTCTTCCGAGGCAGGAAAGCATTTACAGTTATGAGACTAGTGCACGAAATTGTTGCCCATTAAAAGAGGATTAGAGGAAATATTTTAATATTGCTATTTGCCCTTTATAATAGAAGTGTCAGAGATGAAAGAAAATTAGTAAAATGTATATGAAAACCTTTCTCCTATCAGTCTCAGACTCACCACGGGACCCAGAGTCAAATCCCCACCCATCCACCTGCACCTCAAAATCGTGTGAGACCCAGACCCCCCCCCCCATTGGGCTAGGTCCAGGCCTGGCCAGTCCCACCCTTGTCAAGTCCCACTGGGCAGGGTCACAGCCTCAGGTCCCCTGGTCCGGCACCAGGACGGGGCATGGCCTGAGGTCCCCCAGCCCATAACCCTCCTGGTCCCCCCGTGAAGTCCCCCGTTAAGCCCTGCCAGGAGGGGGTGCAGTCTGCTAGGGTGGGGGCACAGCCTGAAGTAAGCCTCACCTAGTGGGGGTGTGGCCTGAGGTCCCCTAGCCTGGAGCTGGGTGCAGGGAGCAGTCGGAGGTCCCCTAGCTCAGCACAAGGATGGGCAGCTCACGTGAGGTCCCTTGTCAAGCCTCACAGGAGCAGGGGAGGGCATAGCCTCGGGTCCCTGCTGACGGCTCGTAAATGCTCCTTATGGGAACTTGGCCTCAGCGCGCTGGAACGGGCCCAGATCGGGGCCTGTGGGCGGCTCAGAGCTGCCCGGACGCCCCTAACAGGCTCCGGACACACAGAACGAGCACCGCCATCGCCGTATGAATAAAAACTCCGAGCCAGAATCGCATGCAATCTCTTTATTTTTCTAGCGTTTTGTACACCGAGGACCAGGGTGTGGTTCCCAGCAGCAGGGACACCTGCGTGCACGGAGCGCGCCCGCTCACCGGAGGGAGGGGTTGCCTCGGAGATAATCACTGACTACACAGCACCACACGCTCACACACACATCCTAAAGCCAGCAGTTCAGTATCCGAGGTCCTCCATCCGTCCCACCTGACTGGTTAGAACACGGTTAGGTCATGCAAAATAACACGCTGTGAAAACGTTAGACACTTGAGCCTCAGGCAGGGAGATCCTAAACAGCAACTACATCAAGCTAATAACTTATCTGCACACGAATGAAGGTCGGGAAGGAGGCCATCAGAGGGACACTGCACTAGTACTCACTACAATCACATCTAACATCTTGCGACTGCGATGCTACAAGAATTCATCTACGTGAGCTAGAAACCCCACGCCTGGCGGGCCTCTCCCCCCCAGGGGTCAGGTTCTCCTCCCTGCCAGGCACGGAGGGGGCACCGGGCACGCGATTTACCGTCACAGAGCGATGGCGGGCCCCGGCCGGAGAGGGGAGCGCCCCGGGGCTTTGGACCCACTTTCTCATCAGTCTTAAAGCCCTTTATCGTGTATTCCCACTCAGAGTTAAACCCATGGATAAGCAATCTGACTAGGTCTCAATTTGCCTCCGGTCTCTGGCTGCTCCACACCTGTCAGTCCCTCTCTCTCACCCCTAAAAGCCAACGGGGCTCCAGCCTCCCTCGGTCTGCGAGCGGTCCCCAGGGCGCTGTTTCCTCGGCAAGTCACAGCCTTTGTGCGGAGACCCCTGACCCATCCTCATCCTCAGACCCTCTCAGGCGTTTTCATGGGGTTGGTGCCGATGGAAGGTAAAACAACAGGGAGTCTGAAAGCTTCTGCTCTTCTAGTTAGAGGCAGCGGGCAGACTGAGCCGGCAGCGGCCTCTGCCCACGGCCTTGCGCTCACTTGTCCACATGCAACAGACACACGGGAGTGAAGGGTGCCCTCGCCTACAACCGGGTCGGCTGCCACGGCCCCGGGTGCCGCCTGCGGGCTCCCTACAGGATGCTCTCCCGCTCCTCCCCGAAGCCGGTGCTGTCGGCGGCCGCGGCCAGCAGCTCGGAGGCCTCCGTGGAGAGCCGGGCGTAGCTGGCCAGCGGGCCCCGCTTGGGCGCCGGGCCCCGCAGGTTCTCGTTGTGCAGGCCGGGCCGCAGCAGGACCGGGCCCGTGTCCCGGGGCCCCTCCCTCTCGTCGAGGCCCTGGGTGGGCCTGCCGGCCGGGGCGCTGTTGTTGTTGAGGGTCACGGTGCTGGGCGTGCGGTTGAGGTTGAAGGCCTTGGGGCCGGCGGGCCAGGCCTCCTCGGGGCTGCTGGCCACCAGGCTGCACTCGGACGGGCTCGGCTTGTCCTCGGAGCAGATGGACATGCGGGCCAGGCCGGGCTCGGGCAGGCCGCTCAGGCTGCGCGGCGGCCCGCGGGGGCCGTCCTCCTCCAGCTCGATGAGGTCGGCCTTCCGCAGCCGCGCGTCGCCCGCCTCGCTGAGCAGCGAGTGGCTGGGGGAGCTCTCGCTGGAGCGCACGCCCGAGTCGGACGAGTCCTTCTTGTCCAGCAGCGCGTCCGCCAGGTACTCCTTGGCCTTGATGAAGGGGCGCAGGGGCTCGGCGCTGCGCTCCGGCGAGCGGGCCGCCCGCTCCGCCCGGCCCTCGGCCTTCCGGTCCTTGTCCTCGCGGAGCAGGGGCGTGTGGTCCGACTCCTCGGGGCCGGACTCGTCCTCGTCGCTGGGGAGCTTCTGGTAGCGCAGGCCGCCGCCCTTGAGCTTCAGGTCCGTCTGGAAGAGGCTGGGCCGATCGGAGGACTTGCGGCCCGGCAGGAGCCTGCTGGCCGCCTGGTCGGACTTCTCGTCCTCCTCGGTGATGGGGTCCAGCGGGGAGGCGTCGCTGGTGGACACCCCGGACGAGGAGTAGTCCAGGACGTCGGCCCGCTTCAGCAGGAACGGCTTCCGCCCGTCCTCCGGCTTCGGCTCGCCGTCCTTGGCCTTGTCCGGCTCCAGGGCCGCGTGCAGGGAGCCCCCCGAGGCGCTGGGCCCCAGGTAGCACGTGCTGTGCGGGGAGGACCTGCCGCTGACGGCCGCGGAGCCCGGCCCCCCTTCCAGCTGCGCCATCTGCGCGATGTACTCCCTGTAGGCGTCCCGGTACTCCGCCTGCACCTTGTCCGTCAGCTTGGAGATCTCGATGCTGGAGTCCTGCGAGTTGAGGCTCGAGAGGCTGGGCGTTCTGCGCGGCTGCGCCTGCGAAGACAGAGAAAATAACGTCGGCATCAGCGAGCTAAAGGGGGCGGGCAGCCAGCCCCAGGACTCCGCGGTGGAGCGGCCAGCATGAACCACAAGGTCAGGGTTCGATTCCTCGCCCGCTTTCCTGTCTGCGCTCGCCCGTCCCAGCCACCGAGCTGCTCCCTCGGCAGCCGGGCCCCCAGCCCCATCGCCGACCATCCTCCCTTCCTCCCTCCCTCCGGCCGAGCCGCGGGGCGGGCCCACCTGCCAGCTGAGGCTGCTGTGCCGTGGGGCGCCCTCCTCCAGGCCCAGCGTGTTGAGCTCCTCGAAGCTGAAGTTGAGGGTGAAGGGGGCCGGGCCCGGGAGCTCCGTGTGCGGCAGCTCGTGGGGGGCCCTGCGGGCCGGCTCCCCGGGGGCCGGGGGGCCGCTGTTGTTCTCATTGAGCAGCCGCAGGTCCTCCGCGGCCGCCTGGTGCTCCGCGCTCCGCAGGTCCAGCACCTGCGGGGGAAAGCGCCCCTGAGACACATCCACTTCCGGAACCTTCCGGAAGCCCCGCGGCTGTTTTAACCGAAGGACAAAACAAAGGGCAGCGGGGAGTGTGGGGACCGGGCTGGGCGGTGCTCCCGCGGAGAAACCAGCTGTGATCAGAAGCCACTGCGGGGACACGGACACACACACGGACACACACACGGACACACACACACACGGACACACGGGCCCAGGGAGCATGGGGCCCAGTCCGAGCTCAGTCCGAGCCTCAGGAGCAGGGGCCAGCGGTGGGGTCGGCCGAGGGAGCAGCCAGGGCGGGGCTCTGCTGAGCCTGCTGGGCGGGTCCTGGCCGGAGGCGGGCGGGGCCGTGGCCTGGGGCCGCAGGGGTGGGGGGTCCGACACCGAGTGCAGTGTTTGCTGAGCAGACACAGGACTCCGCTGTGAGGGGCGCGCAGGCCTGACAGGACGGACGGAGGCTCGGCCTGAGCTTGAGGCGGAGCGGAGGCAGGCGGAGGGGGGAGGAGCGGGCCCCTCCAGGGGAAGGCCGAGGGCGGCCATCGGGCTGGGTGCTAGCGATACGCAGCAGCAGGTGCGCCACACGCATCCTCCGTGCCTTCCAGGACGCACAGGCCCTCAGCCTCGGCTAACCCCGCCGGCCCTCTGCCCGCCGCCGGAGCACCAGCCTTACCGCGCTCCTGAACAGGTGCCAGTCCCCGAAGTTCATGTTCATCTCCTTCTTCAGCTCCTCGATGTTGCACTGCGCCAGCACGCGGCCATTGATGTTGGCCTGGGGACGGCGGAGGGAGGTGAGGCTCTGGGCCGCGGGAGGTGAAGGGCGCGCACACGGCTCCCACGGCCCAGGGCCGGGCCGGGGCCGTCCCACCCAGGCCGAGAGCGTGCCCAGCGCCCCCGCTCAGTGACCCACCTCTTCCGGGACCAGGCAGGGGTCGGCCTCGGGTTCTGTCCATACCCCCTCCCGCCAGCCTGTGTGTTCCTCCAACCCTGCCCATCCCAGCATGCGCTGCGGCTGCCGGGCGCGGAGAGCACAGCTCAGAGCTGCGTGTCTCCCCCGGCAGGCAGGGCCGGCTCACCTTGCGGATGGTGGCACAGTACTGCGGCAGCATGCTCGGCTCCAGCCCCTCGATCTGCTTCAGCCGCTCGCACACGGCATCCACGGTCATGGCGCTCAGCGCCCCCGCGCCGGGGGCCGGGCCGGCGCCCTGAAACGCGCGGGAGAACACGTGTTAACGGAGGGAGAGGCGAGCGTGGCCGGAGCTCAGGGACACACCAGCACTCATTAACAGCAGTGTGTCACCACAGGACAAGCAGGAGCGTGGGGGGCAGGTCCCGCTGCCCGCGTCCTCAGCAGCTTTCCCCGCGCCACGGCCTGGCAGCCTCTGCAGGAGAGCAGCCTGGGCTCGCCAGGCCCACCAGCGGGTGCACCCTGAGCGCCTGGGGCAGCTGAGCCTGTGTAAGCCAGGGACCTGGTGCCCTCCGGGAGCCAGTGCTGTCCCTCCTCAGACCAGCTCAGCAGTCAGACCCGGGCCATCTCCGGGTTACACTGCCCTTACGCTGTTCTGTCCCACGTATCCAGAAAGCACCTCTTCACACGTGAGAGGAAACAGCCCGTGACAACACGGTCTCCTCCAAAGAACCAAAACCAGTCCCCTGGCGTTCACTGGGAAGGGCGTCCGTGGCAGAGAGATCTGCTTCGTTGGTGAAATGAGCTGCCCTGTAAGCCACCGCAGCCAGTCTGACCCGGCTTCTGCGCTGAGCTCTGGGGAGAGGGGGGTGCAGCTGCTGAACGTCAGCGTGCTTCTGGGGACAGAGGCGGCGGCGGCGGCGTTACTGCAGGTTTTCTATGGTGACCGCTGTCTAAAACTAGCTGGTGCCCGTGAACCCCACGGAGGAAGGAGAAACAGAACAAACGCGATAGGGAAAAAGCAAACGCAATGACTTATCGGGTAAACACTAAAACTGACTCGATTACTGGGCACCGAACGGCAATACTAAAGTTCACCACGCGTTCTCACTTGAAAATGGCCCGTGACAAGTCAAGAACAGATCATTTCAGCACACGTCACAATTCCTTCTTAAAAAACTTCCCAACACGAAAAACGGAATGCAGAGGACGTTAGTTTGCTGAAACTGCTGTGTACTGTCAGAGCGCACACCGCCTGAGACCTCCGGGCCAAAGGGGCGCTCACAAACGGACTGGAACTGCCTCAATGAGCGCCAGGGTCATCGGGGAGGCGGGGACCAAGCTCTGCACACCCACGGCGGGAAGGGGCAGGAAGCGGAGGGGCCTGTGCAGAGGCTGCGGCAGCTGCTGAGGCCCCGGGGCGCGCACGCCCAGCAGGCAGGCGCCAGGCTGCTCCAGCGGCCTCATGGGAGGGAGATCTCGGAAAGGGCCGGTACCCGTCTCTGCGTGTTAAACCCACGGCACACGGCTTCAGGGAAGGGATGAAACAGAATGAAGGGCACGAGTGTAACACACACACATAGGACACGCACAGCAGCATCTGTCCCTTTCTCACTCTCACACTCGCCTCCACGCAGCACCCACCCCACCCACCCCCGCAGGCCCATCTCATGAACACGCCTGGCAGTTTTTAAGTTGCACTCTCGTTAAAATTTATGTCCTACTGAAAGAAGAAATTATTGGTCGTCCATTCAACACCAAAAAAGCCAGGTAAATCAAATTTGTCCTGAAAAGTCAATAATCCTACTGCCTCCAAGTTTAAAGTTAATTGTTAAATATTACGATTTAAAAATGCAGCAGAAACCGGTTTGGCTCAATGGATAGAGCTTCAGCTTGGGGAAAGAAGGGTCCCGGGTTCAATTCCGGTCAAGGGCATGTACCTTGTTTGCGGGCATATCCCCAGTAGGGAGTATGCAAGAGGCAACTGATCGATGACTCTCTCATTGATGTTTCTAACTCTCTAACTCTCTCCCTTCCTCTCTGTACAAAATCAATAAAATATATTTAAAAAAAAAATAAAAATGCAATGACCTATTGCAGACCAATTTAACAAGATCTAAATACTTGGAATCCACACGATCATGTCATAAAATGAAATATTTTCTAGCTACACTATAGTTAATGTTCAAAACCACACTTTCCCACATCTGTGCTGTCTCACTGGGCGTGAGGCACATGTATGAGCACGAAAAACCCCATTTAAAAGCAAGGCCTCTGCAGCGCGGAGGGTGGAGACCCTGCAAACCATTCTGGTGGCGGAGGGGGTTTGCTGTGCCGCTGTTTTTAAATACGTTTTTATTGAGAGAGAGAGAGAAAGGGAGACAGAGAGAGAAACCTTGGTGAGAGAGGGACAATTGGCTGCCTCCAGCACGCCCCCTACTGGGGATGGACTCACACCCTGGGCCTGTGCCCTGAGCGGAAGCGAACCCTGACCATGGTGTACGGGAGCCACACTGGCCGTGGCACGGTGGGGAGATGGGAGTTTTTAAAATCTCCTTCCGATCAGACACGGGCCGTGAGCTGTGTTTCCGTCCTGATGAGGGTGAAGGTGAAGGTTCTTAAAAGGCCACAACCACCCAGAGCCGACAGCCCCGGTGAGGGCAGCAGCGCGACGCTGCCTCTGACACCGCGTCACCCGCGCCAGCGGGGACCGTGGTTGTTTGGTGTCAGCCCCGTTCCAAGGCTCTTTACCGAGCGGCCGTGTGTGTGCGGAGACAGGAAGCTGTCACAGCGGCTGAGGGACAAGCAGAGGAAAGCTACTGGGTTCTCCCTGGAAAATGTCGCCTCCTCCCCTCACGTGAGAGAAGCAGGGGCTCCAAGTGGCCGGCGGCTCAGCACCGCGTTTTAAGGAAACGTTTTAAAAACGAGCGATGAGCCGCTGCCGTGAACACGGTGCACAGCTTTGTTCCTTTTCACTGTCCTCTAAGCGTCAACGCGCCATCGCTGTAGCCTCCCGTGCCCTGAGACGGCTCAGCGCCCGAGCTGAGCGGCGCCCTTACCCACGGCGTCGGCGGCTGTCCCGTCCACGGCCGCGCCTGGCGAGAGAGACAGCGTCAGGGACACGCACTCGCCCCGGGCTAGGCCAGTGGTGGAAACGGGCTGCTGGCCGAGCCATCGCTACTCCCCTGGGCCCGGGGACTGTCCAGGGAAGCCAAGGCCTTCGCTTTCAACCCCTTCGTGAGCAATCTGAATGGCGCTCTCGGGCTGCGGGCTTCTCTGCTTCCCTCCAGCTGGACTCAGGGTCTCGTCCAAGGCTCCTTGGCGGCTGTCCGCTCTGGCTCATGCTGGCTCCCCTACAGCGGCCGGCACCTACCCCCCCCCCCCCCCCCCCGCTGCGAGCCCTGGCCTCCTGCAGTCCCCTCACAAGATACGCCCCCCACCGGCCTCGTGGTACGGCTGTGCCTGGCCAACTCCTGACGTCCGCCCTCCTGGTGCCTGCTCTAAGCTCCTCACGTGTCTGCAGTGACAGTCTGTCACCCGGTGCTCTGCTGAGGGACAGCTGAGCGAGCAGAGAGGGGCTCCATCAGAGACACAGTGTCCCCCCGGGACCGGAAGCCACGGGGCCACGAGGTAACCCTCTTCCGGCCGCCACGTCTACTGGCTCAGCGTGAGGCCCAGGCCGTCCCACGGCTGCCCCCGTTTCCACCACTGCTCTTAGTCGGTGTGAACGGTGTCTACTGCGACCGGGCTACGCACACTACAGCACGGCCACCGTTAGTTTCCTAAAAGCAGAGAAGCTCGGTAAGGCCCGGTACTCACTAGGCAGGTCAGTACCGTTAACGTGAGGAAAGCGGCAGACGGTTATCTCACTGCACAGGGGCCGCGCCCACTCGGGTGCCCGACCCCGTCCCGGGCTCCTTTCCGGACGAGCTCAGCACCTCCGGGCTCAGCGCCCTCGCTGCCGCCCCCCGGGGCCCCGAGGACCTGCAGGCACTAACTCCGCGCCCGTTCACCCCGGCTGCTCGGGGACAGCTGTGTCCCCAGGGCTGTATGGCCACCAGTGCCTCAGTGTCTGCCGTCCATGGGGGGGGCTCTGCCCGGAGAGCGGTCCTCCACTGGAGGCCCCGGATGAACGGCAGTGACCGGGCTGCGGGCTCCGCCGGCACCGAGCGGTGAGGACGGCTTCCTGCACCCTCTCCTGGGAGCCACTCAGCGCGCCAGCTAAATGCCAACGGTTTTACAAGGGCCACCGAGCCCTCAATGAGAACACCAGAGGGTTTCCTCTCTCTCTCAGGAACATTGACTGAAATGACAGTAAGAAAACTACTGTCCTCCCAGCGGTGAGCCCCCACGGTGAGCCCGGGGGGTCTGAGCCCCCAGCCCGGCGCCCGGCCCGCAAGGAGCTCCGCCTGAGGGTCCCTCCGCACGGGCCGGTCTGTGAGCAGCCAGAAGCGAAGGAAGCTTCTAGGCTCATCGAGTAAACCAGGTCTGTGAGCCAGAAGCTGAGCGATGAGGCACAGCGGCTTCCTCTCGGGGGCGCCGCTGAGACACCCGGCCTCCCCGCTCGGCATGGCCTTCCTTACGCAGCCTCGGGGGGAGGGGATGTGCCCTGTTTTCAAAATTACTCTCCATGCGGAGGCTCAAGAGAGCCAGCAGAGGGAACACACCCTGGGCACTGCCCGGCCGGGGAGGGGGGACCCAGGCACCGGGCACACGCCCGTACGGTCATTAGCGGCCACACGCGGATGCAGTTAGTGGGCCGAGCGAGGCGGTGCCACGCCACACACACGCCATTACCCTCGAGGGGCTGGTGGGCGAGGGGAGCCCCTCAGCAGCGTCCTCCTTGATGACCTCCTAGCAACACAGAACAGAGGTGGTGAGGGCACGGGAGAAGGACGCGCGTTGGGTCACAGCCCCGGCGGGGCCGCAGCTTCCTGCGTGACACACGTCCCGTCCGGGGAAGGCTGGGTCCCACACCTCTGCCCCCGGGTGGTACAATCTGCTCACAGGGACTTCCTTCTTTCTTTAGGTTGCTTAACGAACCTGACCAGCAGGAGCACCTAATGTGAGGCATAAATGGGCTGCTTTGGATTAGATTAAAAAGTAACTACATTTGAATAACTTCCTTTTCCTATTTAATTTCTGCCATTAAACTTAACACGTTCTTTCCATGTATCACCTGATTTTTACACAAAAGGGCTAACATACGTACAGATGCCACCTATGCGTGTCCTTTAAAGACACTGGAAACCAGCAGGAGTAGAGCCTGTGTAACGCAGTGACACACGCGCACGTAAGCAGACACGCGCTGTCAGCATCTCTGCCCTCCCCCCGGCCGCCGCGGCCCCTCACAGATCCACAGAAAGGAAAACACACACACTCACGTTGGTAACAGCTGAGGTTTCCTGAAGCTGTTTACAAAGTAAGCTGCATTCTCTTTCTACAGAAAGGAAATAACCCACTCCAATGTTCTAGATGGTTCTTAGCAGAGTAATACTTTAGTTACCCCTTTTCATACTTACTAGGCCATTGGTTTGATCTCTGGACAAACTCGATTTTACTGTTGGACGTGAGATGAGATGTTGGGAACCGCCAGGGTAATACCGTGGCGAGTAAAAGTAGGGGGCAAAGAATGGCTATGGAAAAAACACGTAACAAAGAACGGGATAAACAATCACGGAAATCAAAGGGTGATGAAACTTATCAAATGAAACTAAACGACAAAACACAGACTTTAATGCAAATGACAAACGAAAAAAAAAAGCCTTTCTCATTTTCTACCAGATATCAAACCCCAAACTTGACATATTAAATTATTACCCTGATTTATTAAAAGCCTTTTTTAAAGCAACTAAAGTCTTATACCTTATAATTTAACACACGAGTGTCTCTTTATATTAATAATTTTATGGGCTAATTACCATAAAATTAGGTTAGGTTCTAAATGATTTATGAATATTAACATAATCTCTTAAAAAAAAGCAGAATGGAATCTTAATAGAAAACTATCCTTTACCAAAAACAAATAAATAAAAATAAATAAAAGGTTAGCCTTAAGTTAGACCAAACGGTGTGGTCTGTGTGACAACAGCCTACACAGACTTCAGAGGGGAAGCCACTGTCCCGGCAGGAGCGTCACTCTCTCAGCATTTATCCGTGACCAGCTCCTTGTGGGCAGGAGCTGCCAGGCTGCATGGGCAAAGGCCTAGATTAGGGTCCCCAGCTTCAGGACCTACAATGACACCTTTCTCACTCCTGCCGCTTTAAGAAAATTATTCTGCTTTTACTTCCTGATTACAAACCTCAAATAACTACAAAAAAGTAACTAGACTTAAAACTGTGAGAGAACGGTAAATGTCTTAGAAATAATAAAACGTTATTAAAGTATCACATGATTGTTCTTCAGGTGAAATGGGTGAACACGAGGTCTCAGCCTGGATGGTGTGGTAATTTTTGAAAAATAAGCTCATGGTCTCAAAAGCTCGACTGTCCCCAAAAGGTCAGCGGAGCCGCTCTGACTCCGTCAGTGGCTGGGCCGGAAGTGCCCACACCGCCTGCCGAGCGATCTGCTCCCGGGCAGCGCGGACGTCTGGAAGGGTGCAGCGGGCACCCTTCGCCCGCACTCCGAGCAGCTGGGATGGGCGGCCAGTGACCCACGGGGCCAACGCTGTTAACAAATTTAACTTCATTTAAACGCTGGTCCTAACCCTCTTCCTCGCTCACGTGGGCTGAGTGTGGCCAGAAGACCAGCTGTTTCTGGATTAGACTGAAGCAGGAGACAACGGAGCTATCGTGACGGGCCGGGCACCGGGCACTCAGCTGCGCTCCCCTCTCTCCAGCAGGAGGCTCCCAGGCCCCTGAGTCACAGTCACACGTGCCGAGACGACCTGAATGGGACTGTGACGGCTGAGGCGCTAATTGGGCTAAGGCGTCTAGTCCCACAGGCAGTATTCCCATTGCCGTCTCCACTTAAAAGCTACACTGCAGCCCTAGCTGGTTCGGCTCAGTGGACAGAGCGTCGGCCTGTGGACTAAAGGGTCCCGGGTTCGATTCCGGCCAAGGGCATGCACCTTGGTTGCAGGCACATCCCCAGTGGTGGGTGATGCAGGAGGCAGCTGATCGATGTTTCTCTCTCATCTATGTTTCTAACTCTATTCCTCTCCCTTGCTCTCTGTAAACAATCAATAAAAATTTTAAAAAAAAAAAAGCTACACTGCACACGATGCACAGTCACTGACCTGCTGCAGCGTCCCCGTCCGCACGGTGTCCAGCCCCCGGGAAGCACATGCAGCCGGACCGTCCAGCCCCCGGGAAGCACATGGCTGACGGCACAGCGCGGGCTCTTCCCTCTGGGCTGAGAGCACACAGCCTCCCCTGACCTGAGACCCACTAACATGCAGCGTCCTCCAAGTTTAAAACGTCATATACATTAAATTCAAACCTAACCTTCTCTAGTTTTAAAGCTAAAGGACAGCTTCTAAGTAATCCCAGCCCCCTCAGCAGGAACGCCTGCTGCTCCCCGCCTGCTCACCCGGTTGTAGAAGGGGTGCTGGGGCCCCGTCATCCCGCTGTAGTAGCTGCTGTGCGGCTGGGGGGACACCACGCCCCCGGCGAAGGGGCCGTTGAAGGAGGTGGTGGAGGAGCAGACGGACGGGGGCTGGCTGTAGCCGGACGCGGGCCGGGGGGCGGCTTCGTGCAAGGGCAGCGGGGGGTACGCCAGGCCGCCGATGCTGATCTGCTCCCGGGCGGCGCGGACGTCTGGAAGGAAAGGGGCCCAGAGGAGAGCGGACGTTAGGTCAGTCATCCGCGCCTGCTCCTTCGCTGGCTCGGCGGGTAGAGCGTCGGCCTGGGGACCGGATGCCGCGTGCGCACCTGTACGCAGAGGTGCCCCAGCACAACGTAATCCCCCACCGCGCCCTGCCCTGCCCTCCGCGTCCCCACGCTCAGGACGAAGGCCCGTCTCCTCCGGGAGCCACGGGAACAGAAGAGACAGAAGCACAGGACGCCCCGGAGGCCCGACACCAACAGGAATGACTGCCAAGCCGGGGCGGGGAGGGGGCAGCACAGAGCGGGGCTAAGGAGCGGCACTTCCCTCCGGCCCCGGACCCCACCCGGCACCGTCCTCCGCGGAGACGGGTCCGGCGTGTTGGCGTTCTCGGGGCGGAGGGGGCACGGGGCGTGAACGGCGGGCATTCGGAGGGCGGCGGACGGAAAAGGGAGCCGGGCGGCACCCACCGGCGATGATCTCCCGCAGCTTGGGGTCCAGGTTCACGGTGCAGGGCAGGAAGGTCTTCACGTCGCGCGCCACCAGCACGGGCGTCCGCGAGGCCAGGAACACCTCGAAGTTCCTGACGTCCCCGTCGATCTCCAGCAGCGGCTCCACGTCCTTGGTCGTCGGGATGTTCTTTGAGATTCTTCAGCAGAAAGAGATGAGAAAGGTCACTCACGTCCCCGTCAGGAAGGCGAACTCCGCATAAAACTAAGTCGCGTTACACACTCTGCCGCCATGAAGTCTCTTCAAAGGAAAAACAGGCGGCACAGCCGCGCGGCAGGCAGGAGACCGGCGGGTGGGCGTGGGGCTGCCTCTGCCAGCAGCACGCGGCCAGGGAACAGGAAGGAAGGAAGGAGCGTGCGGACACGCCGATGGAGCTGCTTGGGACAGCGACGGGCACAGGGGCCTCTGCTTTGTCTGCCGGGATCCTGCAAAGGATTTAATTTGAAAGGTCTCCAGTGGGGACCACCGCCCGAGGCGGCCTCACTGCTGGCAAGTGCTCAGGCAGGAGCGAGTCCGATGCAAACAACACAGCCCCAGGCCGGTGCCGGGGGCCAGTGAAGAGCAGAGGCAAACGCTCCGAGCCCCATGGTTAGAGACACCCCAACAACAGCTCTTAGGAGGCAAGACCCACTTCCACAGCGGCTTGGGCGGCGCTAATAGTGCCACAAGGGGCTGCCAAGCGATGAGTGTTCACGGTGCTGTGCCTTTAAGAAATCTTGAGGAGTTTTACATGAATCGTTCAGAGAAAGCAAATGCTCTGCACACCACGCTGAGGAACTGGCAGAGAATGGGCACTGACCTCAGAGTGTACCCAGGAATGTCTCAGACCAAAGCAAACCCTTCACTCACAGGCTATCTTAAAGACCTAGTTTTACTAAGCACAGGACCCCAAATCCTGCTTAGGATTTAATATTTTTAAAAGTAAATACAAATGTGTTAAGACCAATAAAAACCGCCGAAACTGGTTTGGCTCAGTGGATAGAGCGTCAGCCTGCGGATTGAAAGGTTCCAGGTTCGATTCCTGTTAAGGGCATGTACCTTGGTTGCGGGCACATCCCCAGTGGGGAGTGTGCAGGAGGCAGCTGATCGATGTTTCTCTCTCATCGATGTTTCTAACTCTCTTCCTCTCTGCAAAAAATCGATAAAATATATATTTTTTAAAAACCAATAAAAACCTCCTCTCTTCATCTCCATCCTTTCCCAAATGTGAATGGAAAAGGGTTTTAGAAGAAAAGGCACAACCGAGCTTTACAACCATCGAGGGTCAGGCGACTCCGTCGGCCTGCAAGCATGATTCTCAGGCTCATCGGCGGCCTGCGGGGCCATCGTAAAAAGAACAAGAAACGGATATTGAACTTGAGAATTGGAAAGACTCATTAAACTCAGCGCTCCCTGGCCTTTGTGCAGTGAGGGAGAGCAAAGCGCAGGTCTTGGCTGTTTCTGGGGGAACACTGCCACCTTGTGGACTTTATGGATATTCTAACAGGCCACTCAGCGGGCTTGACATCAGCACCTCACCTGGCCGCTCGTTAGCTGGTATTTTTGTTGTAGTGACCTTTGTTAGCTCTCAGGTCGGGAACAATGTAAAAACACTTTTACCTGAGATGCCGAGATCAAAGGCCTCGCTGAAAAGCATCCGTTCAGGGGAAATCAGCCTCCACCTGATCTCTGAAGCATATTAATGTTTTGGTGAATTCTTCACCAAATGAAAATGAGATTTATTTTTATTTTTTTAATTTTTATTTTTTTTAATATATTTTATTGATTTTGTACAGAGAGAAAGGGAGAGAGATATAGAGCTAGAAACATTGATGAGAGAGAGTCATCGATCAGCTGCTGCTTGCACACCCCCTACTGGGGATATGCCCGCAACCAAGGTACATGCCCTTGACCGGAATCGAACCCGGTCCCTTCAGTCCCCAAGCCGATGCTCTATCCATTGAGCCAAACCAGTTTCGGCAATAATGAGATTTATTTTTTAAATGTAAACATGCACAATACTCTTACTGTATTATAAGATAAACTATAAGTCTGCAAGGATAATGACTTTTTACCCATTAAAATATATATGGTAGAGAAACTGATTTTGTTATTTCTGTTTTCAAACAGCCTTAGTTAATGCACTTGAGTTTCCCATGCTGGAGTTAGAAACACACACTTTGGAGCATTTAAAATCCCTCCTTTGTTCTGCACTAGCATTAAATACTAAAAATGGCATCGTGACAAGTTTAAATGAGAATATATTTTAAAAATCCATTCTACCCTCTGAAAAGCAGAGGAAAGTGATTGAGAAGCGACCTAGGGAAGAACGACAGGCACTTGGCACCCATAAAAGTGGCGTCAAGGCTGGAGCAAGCAGATGTGCCAGCTGTTTCGGGGGATACATCACAGCTGAGTTCCTACGGTCTCCATCCAAACTACTGCAGCCAAGGACACATTCAGGATTTTGCAAAGACCAGGCCTTCTTTGTAAAAAGATGAAGGTATTGACAAAGCAGGGGACTCGGAAAGAAGTATCTGCGCTATAAACACGTTAAGGGCAAGTGTGTTTTCGGAGTGAAGATGGAGCAGTGACCACACAGACAGCTATTTAACGAGCGCCGAGTGCTGACACCCACACCTACGGGCAGGCACGCCGCCCCGGAGACAGACTGCGCTCCCGTTCCACAGGACACACACACACCAATGGCCCGCAGAAGCCGTGCGGGGAATGAGCATCTATAGTGTCTCAGCCTAAACCATGGGGAAACCGTCAGTACAAGGACATACCTGGTGCTAAAAGCAGAGAACTTTTCACAAATCTCAACAGCTAGCATTTACCATCTCACGCTGTTCAAGTTCACACTGTAAGTCCACATGCAGAGAAGGAAACTGGTGCATAATCGGGGCCACACCCAGGGCTGGGGATCAGGTAACAATCGCCCGGATCACGAGGGAACAGGAGGTGGTGAGTAAGTGAGAGCTGGAGGCGGGAGGTGCCGAGAAGCGACAGAGTTAAGCTTAGAACTCCGCTGAGCGCCAGGCAGAAACATGATGTGATGTTCTGTGGTGAAAATATCTCCAAGTATGGAACCAGCACTGCTTAGATCATTTAAAACACCAAGCTCCCGGCTGGTGTCGCTCAGCCTGAGCACCAAAGGGCTGCAGATTCGATTCCCGGCCCTGGTTGGGGGATGTGGGAGGCAACTGATTCTTTCTACCTACCTGCCTACCTGCCTACCTCTCTCTTCCCCCACTCTCCTGTCCCTCCCTCCCTTCCACTCTTCCTGAAAAGTCAATGGGAAAAATATCCCCAGGTGAGGATTAACAGAAATATAAAACAAACAAACAAATAAAGACACTGGCTTTAACCTAAAGGCTCCTATCATGTCTGTCCAATGAAAGGAAAGATGGCTCCCGTCCCCAGGCTCGCTGGGAACGCATCTGACCGACCGCGTTTAGAAATGAGTCTGCAGCATGCAAATCAGGGCTGGCATCATCCTTATCACAAAACTGTCCTGACCACAGCACCCTGAGCAGGACTTCTGAAGCAGTGTCAAAACAGAAGTGCTAACGTCATCTTCATGAAAACGCTTAACGTTGATCTTTTCAAAACCTCTGCCATTGCTTTCTAGAAAATATGAGAAATAAAGTTTTATAGCTAAAATATTTCAGTGACTGTCTAAAACACTATAATAAAAAGAAGACAGAAGATCTTAATCTACAGTTTTAATTTTACTCCCTTTCTTCTTACTAAATATATGTTAACAAAAAAACACCCCTCAAATGATCTAGACAAAAGCTTTTAGCTCAACACATAATTGCAAGGAAATTACAATAATTGTACCAATTAAAATAATCTTGAATGAACAGTATGTCATCTTAATGTTCCAATGGTTTATAGAGGGATCTACTTAATTAGCTGAAATTGCTTTTCAGTGTTATATCAAATGTCATTTGTTAAAAGTTGAACAATTTAGAAAATAATTTAACAAAGCAATTTTACCAAACACTAAGAGCCAACATTTTCTTTTTCAGAGAATAAAGCAAGCAGCTGTGTCATCAAATTGCTATAAAAGTAAATGAGGCTTTTTATAGATTAAAAAAATTTTACTACTAGCGTTAAAAACACTATTTTCTGATTGTTTTTACCAAGTCAGATTTCTTTAATAAAATAAATGAATATCAATTATATACTGCTGCTTTTTGTCTGCTGTAAATAAAACTTTTTCTTATTTAAAGGACAATAGCATCAAAGAACTCAACTCCAGCTAATTAGAAAGTCATCGATATTATTCTAACATATTCCAACATGATTTTTCAATATGTTGATCCAATTCTCTTCCCATAGTTTTTCATTCAAATCATCTTAAATTTAGTTCTTTTGAGTCAAGTTCTTCATGAATTCTCCAAGATATTTACTACATTGTATTTTCTCTTCCTTAAAGTATCTACAAATCATTATTAAGTATTAGTAGGTATATAAAACATCTATTTCTTTTTTTAAATACATATTATTGATTTTTTTACAGAGAGGAAGAGAGACGGATAGTTAGAAACATTGATCAGCTGCCTAATGCACACCCCCTACTGGGGATTTGCCCACAACCAAGATACATGCCCTTGACCGGAATCGAACCTGTGACCCTTCAGTCTGCAGGCCAACGCTCTATCCACTGAGCCACACCGGTTTTGGTGTGGACATCTATTTCTTAAAAGAAAAAAAAGGGGGGGGGGCATTTCAAAATCACCCTGAACCCAACCCGTCCACAGGCGGCAAGCCCACCACGGGCTGAAGGCTACAGGACGGATAAGTAAGTGGCAAACAGTCTCCCCCTCATTATGCCTCCAATATCAATATTCTCCAATTACTTGAACAAAATTGCCCTATAAAAATTCACTACACTGTTTTGAATAAAGAATAAAGATACGTCCTAAAAACATTGCTTGGGCAAGTGTTCTTTTCACAGAATGAAAAAAGCACTATTCTCTTTGAATATAAATAATACATCTCTTCCGTCCTGAAGACATATTTTAATTAAAAACGTCATTTTTGGGAAATTTCCTTGAACGTTAGGATGTCCCAGAGCTTGACGTGCTCAGATGAAAATCAGGGTGGGAGCTTTCAGAGGGCAGGCGGTCCTCCATCGGCAAGGACAGCGGTTCCAGTGAAAGTTTTCTGTCCCCGAAAGAACCGGTAGCCTGATCCTGACCACACGTCCTGATTGGCTGATCTGACCCCAACCACATGTTCTGATTGGCTGGCTGAGCCCAATGGCTGCTTCCTCCAGTGGTTTCTGAAGTGCTGTGTGCTTTCCCTCCCGGCAGGACACCAGCTCCTGGACGCTCAGTGTGACAGACCTCAGGGCATCAGGCGCTGCTCACATGTGTCCCCCACCCCGCACCCCTCCTGGGCCCGGAACACAGAAGGCGGAGTCAGCAAGAGCTCACACCGAGCCCACACCAAGTGAAGAAAACGACGAGTGTAAAAGAGCAGTAAGTCCCTTTATTACCAACGAGAGGCCCGGGGCACAAAACTCGTGCACTCGGGTGGGGGGGGGGTCCCTCGGCCTGGCCTGTGCCCTCTCGAGTCCGGGAGCGCTGTGGCGATGCTGGCGGATGGCTTCGTGGGCCGAAGCGACATCCTAGCGCTGCCACGGGGATGGGAGAGGCTCCCGCCGCCGCTGTGCTCGCCAAAGGGAGCCCGCTTCTGGCTGAGCGGCGCTCCCCCTGGGAGAGCACACTGGCTACTGGGGGCGGCTCCTCACTGAGTGTCTGCCCCCTGGCGGTCAGCGCGCATCATAGTGACCGGCCATTCTACCATTCGGTCATCTGCATATCAGCCTTTCATTATGTAGGGCGCAAAGAACGTGCTCCCATCAGAATTCAGAGTTTCTAACACCCTCCAGACAGAAAGCTGAGAAATACTTGTATCAGTGACTTGGGAAATGTCACTAGGAATAAAAAGTAAACTGGAAACAAATAACAACGTCTCAGGCACTGCATTTCATAGATATGAGTACGTAAAGCCAGCAGGACTGTTAAGCACACGTTTATCACATTCGGTGTCAGTGGAAAGGAAGCTACACATGTCTGTGATGGGCATGCACACTGTGAATACAGCCCCTGGAGTAAAGGGATCAGTGAGAATCATCCACTGAATGTGGACGTGCGCATTTTACACAGAACGCCAGGACTTTGTATTCATTGTGCTCTATACGCCTTAGCTTGTTTCTGAAAAGCCAGCGCGATGTAAAGCCACGTTAAACGTAGGGAGATTCCGTACCTTTCGTAGATGGTCTTCAGGGTCATCTGGTCCGGAATGCCCTCCGTCTCCTCCAGGTACAGGATGAGCCAGGATGTGCGGTATGGCCACTGCTCGGTGAGGTTGATCCAGCTGGCCAGGCGGTCCCAGTTAAAGCTAATCTGATTGGCTCTCAGCAGCCGCCCTTCAAGGAGCACAAGAACATTTGTGAATTAACAGACGCGTGATGTCATGCTAAGCAAAACACTGAGCATAGTCACAAATCATTTAACGTCCCTAAATCTTTAAAATTTACCACTTACTGTACACAACATATTCAAACTAACTAAATGTAAGTCTATATATATATATATATAAAAGCCTAAGCAACCATCTGACCGTCTGACCAGTAGCTATGATGTGCACTGACCACCAGGGGGCAGATGCTCAATGCAGACGCTGCAGAGCCTGCGGTGACTTGGCAGCTGCCGTCCTCGGGTGATGCACCGGAACCAGAGAGAAGGGAGCCCGGTTCTGGGGTGCGTCACCCGGGAACTGCCTTCGTGCAATCTGGGACCCCTCGGGGGATGTTTCGGCCCCATCCCCGCAGGCCAGACCAAGGGCCTCTAGTGTGTGTGTACGTATAAATATATACACATAGAGCCTCTGCAGTCCAAAGAGCTCTTCGGGAAGCTCCTAGAATTACACAAATTCTGTTTAGTTGTAACGTGGCTTCTGTGACTTCCCCCCGCGCTGCACTGACCCCCCTGCACAGCAGTGTCAGAACCGCGTGAGACACGGCTGCTCCTGCAGGGCCCATCCTCCCGCAGGGCCCAGCGCCTGCTGGCCCGGAGCACACAGCGCGGTCCACTCTCGCTCTCCTAGGGAGGGTGCGCCCTCACTGCTGGGCTGTGGTGCTGAGGGGAAGGCGGACCAGGTGGCTGTAACGTGGCCACAGGACTCGCTCTCCCCGAGCCCCGTCTGCCTGGGCTCTCTGGGAGCCCCGCTCAGGATCGGGCCGGGAGAGCTTACCGGGGGCAGCGCCATCCTCAAACTTCGAGCCCAGGCCTTGTTTGCTGCCTCATCGTTTTATCCCCGATTTGATGGGATTCAGAACCGCAGATATTTTTGCTTTTTAATTTTGAACATTATCTGTTTTACTTGATCATTATCAGTTTATATCCAGTTGTTCTAGCTCAAATGAATTCCCCCTTCCCCTGTAACTGCTATACATGCTCCCCTCCCCCCGTTCTCCCGGCCTCCCCCCCTCGGCCTCGCCCCCGGCCCGCCTGCCCAGCCACGCGCACTGCAGCACCGCGGCACCGCGGCCGGGCTCCTCCTCCCACGAAGGGTCTGCCGCTGGCCAGGCCAGGCCTGCCCCTCCCACCAGTTAAACGGGAGGTGAGCTCAGAGGCTTGCTTCCAGTGTCCCATTTTGAAGTAACAGTGCGCAGCTGAGGCTGGTTTTTGTTGTCAAACTCGCTTTGGCCTTCCTCCACACCCTGATGCACTGAAACCGGCCTCAGCAACGCTCACGCCCAGCAGGGACTGCCTCTGTGTCCGCAGCTGAGCGCGGCCCCGGCGGCAGGCAGAGGGGTCACCTGTCACGGAGACGATGTTGAGGAGCCTCCGCATGGTCTGAGGGCTGATGTCACTGAACCAGTCCTCCGTCACCAGCAGCTTCGTCAGGTCGAAGGACATCTGCCGGGTGATGGTGCGCTGCATCTGCCGCCGGCGGTACGTGTCCTGAGGAAGGGGCGGGAGGATGAGCTGCGCGGCGCTGACACAGGCTTCCGCTCAACAGTGACAGACCTCACCCGGCAGCCGAGGGCGGGAGCACCGGCTGGGGCCACAGGCCGCCGCGGCGGGCTCAGGCCTCGGAAAGAGCACGGTGGCGGCAGCCCAGCCCTGGCGGCTGCGAGGGAACGAGCTTCCTGGCTGAGCAGCCGAGCGAGCTCGGTGCCTCGGAGATGAGATCCCACGCGAGAACATTCCACCAAGAACTGAAGGGGGACGCGGGCAGGAGCGCGGGGCTTACAGGAACTCAGAAATAACGAAGCCATGGCTCCGGGCTCCGCATTTCCAGGAGTCAGACCCTGCTCGTGACAGCATCACCACCTGTCACTCTTCACACTAACTAGCATCCACGTTTGCACAGGGTAGAGGCATAAAATGAGAATGTCAAACGTCACTGAAGATATGTTTAAATGCCCAACATCCGAGTTTAATGGAGCAAACTGAAAGCCCAACAAAACCACATAAAACAGTGCCGGTCAGCGCCAGCCCAACCTAGCCAAGCTCAGCGCTGTGCCCGGCGGCCTGCAGCACCACCCCCGCTCCACACGAGGAGCCTGGGAGCGGGCAGGACAGGGGACCAGCACCGGGAGGGAGGTCACCCTCACAGCTGTGGTGCCACGGGCACCAGGGACGCCGTGGGGCTCTGGTCTGGTCTGGGCGGCGTGGGGCTGAGGACGGCTGGGAGGGACAGGGACTCCTGTCCTGAGCTGTAGGCAGACATGCTCCCAACGCCGCTGGCGGGAGGCACCAGGGGTAACGCAGTGGCCGAGCTTGGTGCCAGTTTACAGAAGGTGGCTCCGTGCCACCGGCTAAGTCTTGTTTGAGGAACAGAACAAGTGCGGGCTCATAGAGATGAGTCTTACCCGTCTGTTGAGGGCTGTCTTGCTGCCAAGCTTGGCCATGTCTCCCAGGCTGATCTGGGAGACTCTTCTGTCGGCATCCTCCTGTGTCCCTGAGGGATCCCCCGAGAGCACCGTTAGCACGGGGTTCCACGGCGGGACCGCTGACGGAAAGCGGCCGCCCGCAGCCCCAAGGTGAAGGTGGCCGCACACACAGGGCTCCGCACACACAGGACTGTGCACACACAGGACTGCGCACACACAGGACTGCACACACACAGGGCTCCGCACACACAGGACTGCGCACACACAGGGCTCCGCACACACATCCGCACACACAGGACTGCGCACACATAGGACTGCACACATACAGGACTGCACACACACAGGACTCCACACACAGGACTGCACACACACAGGACTGCACACACACAGGACTCCGCACACACAGGACTGCACGCACACAGGACTGCACGCACACAGGACTGCACGCACACAGGACTCCGCACACACAGGACTGCACGCACACAGGACTCAGCGCACACGGGACTGCACACACACGGGACTGCGCACACACGGGACTGCGCACACACGGGACTGCGCACACACAGGGGTCCGCACACACAGGACTGCACACACACAGGACTGCGCACACACGGCTCCGCGCACACAGGATTCCGCGCACACAGGACTCCGCGCACACAGGGCTGCGCACACTCAGGGCTGCGCACACTCAGGACTCCGCGCACACAGGACTCCGCGCACACAGGACTCCGCGCACACAGGACTCCATGCACACAGGACTCCGCACACTCAGGGCTGCGCACACTCAGGGCTGCGCACACTCAGGACTCCGCGCACACAGGACTCCGCGCACACAGGACTCCATGCACACAGGACTCCGCGCACACAGGGCTGAGCACACTCAGGGCTGCGCACACTCAGGGCTGCGCGCACCTGCGGCGTCGGGGCAGGAGATGTCGCCGTTGGTGGCCGTGACCAGGTACTTCTTGGCGCCGCTCAGGCCCCGGCTGTTGAGGAACACGGGCAGGTGCACGATGTTGCGCATGTAGTCGTGGCCGTTGATGTTGGAGTCGCGCAGCACGCTGTTGAGGTTCTGGTTGATGGCCTTGATGATGATGTGCGGGTCGCTCGCAAAGATGGCGATGAAGGGCCCTTTGGAGAACAGCACCCGGACCTGCGGGAGGAGGAACGTGGGCGCACAAACTTCAAGTCAGCAGCCCACAGACAGGCGCTGCCTTTGGTGATCGGGTATTTCTTAAAACTGTTTTCCAGCCCCAGCCAGTGTGGCTCAGTGGATAGAGCGTCTGCCTGCAAACTGAGAGGTTCTGGGTTCAATTCCGGACAAGGGCACAGGCCTGGGTTGCAGCTCGATTCCCAGTAGGGAGCGTGTAGGATGCAGCCGATCAGTGATTCTCTCTCCTCACTGATGTTTCTCTCTATCCTTATCACTCCCTTCTGAAATCAATTAAAAAAATTTTTTTTTAAAAACTGGTTTTTGTCCAAGCATTACTCTGTCTGAACACCTGCTGCTACTGAAGTCTCCATCTGGTTTGCACCATCCGGCAGGGACACGCCCCCGAGGACACAACTGCTCTGTCGGCCTGGGACCTGCGGCCTGAGGCGAGGTGGGCTCAGCAGCGGGAGGCGCTCGGGAACGTGCGAGAGGCACGGGCTCCGGTCTCAGCGGCACACCTCAGAGGCGCGGGCGTGCGACTTCCACAAACACGGCGGACTGTGCGCTGCTTCTCTCAGCCCCACGTCTGCACACACGCTGGGCCCGCGGGCCACCAGCCCCCACTCCCCTCTCTCACTCTGCCAGCGCCTTCCCGTGTCTGTACCTGTCTACCAACATTCTCCCGCTGTTTCTGATAAAGACGGTTATTTCCACAAAAGAAAAGTGCATTTCAAACGCACCGTGTCCAGCATCTGCAGCACTTTGTCCTGCTCGCAGGCGTCCAGCCCGTCGATGATGACCACCAGCCGGGTCTGGTTCTGCGTGAAGCTGTCGATGGTCTTGGCCATCCTGGCCATCAGCTCCACCTCGCACTTGAGAACCTGCAGAGGCAGACAGGCAGGTGCGCTGAGGGCGGGGCGTTCCGAGCGCCTCACAGAAGCCCCGCGGCCACAGCGGCTCCCTGCAGCCTCAGTCCCTGGCCCCGAGTGCGGCCCCGCCGGGACCAGGGCTCACACGCAGCAGCCCCCGCCCAGGAGCCCGCACATCCTGTGAGGAGGGATTGATCAGGCTGAGTGACTGCTGCCCAGATAGCGCTCCGCAGGCCTCGAGACTAAGACTCGGGTGGAAACCTCAGTGACCCACCCGGCGGCTCCTGACGGGACATGTCCTCAGTCCCCGCTCTGCCAGCCCAGCTGCTGGCCCGCAGGCCGAGGCCCCGCGCCACTAGGAGGAGGGACACCGTGAAGGCACCCGAGCCTGCTCCTGTGGGCTCCCACCAAGTCTAGTTACAAAGCCGCGCTCGTTACGACTTTGCCCACGTCACCATGCCCTCCACAGGGAAGCCTGGGTAGGAGCCGGAGCCACGCAGCGCTGGCCCGAGCGCGCGGCCCACGGCCCCAGGACAGGCCGGGCCCGTACACGGCCGTCCCCGCGCCCTCGCACCTTCATGAAGCCCTCGCTCTTCAGCTTGTGCAGCCGCGAGGCCGCGCTGTGCAGCCGCTTCCGCTGCGAGCTGAGCAGTGAGTCCAGCACCTGCCACCAGGTGCGGCAGCCGAGCACCAGGGCCAGCCCCACGACGGCCGCGATGGCGATGAGGACGGCGTTCACCGTCAGGTGCTTCCCGTCCACTCGGAAGACGGCCAGGAGCGTGACGCCCGCCACCACGCAGCCCAGCACGAACAGGAAGATGACGAAGGACGGGAGGCAGCACGTCTTCTTCCACTTCCTCTTCCCTGTGAGACAGCGGCGGGCGGATGGCCTCACGCTGAGACCCGCACACCCCGCCCGGCACGGGGCGGCCTCCCGCTGCCCCCTTCCCGGGCCCCACGCAGGCAGCGCCAGCAGCAGGGGGCGGCCTACCCTGCGAGTCCTCCGTCTTGAACACTCGGAAAAGCCTGGTTGCCAAGAAGCCGAACTCCCTCTCGCACGCGTCCGAGAGGGTGGCGATCATCTCCGCCATGGACGTCTCCCCGCCGACGCTGGACAGGCGGTTGTAGTCCGTGAACAGGAACCTGCGGGGGGAAGCACGGCTCGGTCCCCAGAGGCCCTGCGCGCTCGTGGCCTGGGTCGGGCTCTGACCGGTCCTCACGCCTCTCCCGGGCGGCTGTCTATAAATCTAAGGAGGGAAAGAACCAGAAACTCGGCGTCGCCCGCTCCCAGCACCTCACGCGCTTTCCGTGGAGACAATTTAAATGGAGCGCAGCCACGCTGCAGGCGGCAGCTCTGACAGGGCCGCCCGCACACATGGGGCAGGTCTGCTGGGCAACGAGAAGGCGGCCCATCAGGATGCAGGGCTGCACTTCCTAAGGCTCCTAAGCACCAACCGGGAGACCGGAGCCAGAGGAATTCAATGCCACTGAAAACACAGGCTTTACCATGTCTCACTTATAGCTACACCTCGACCAGAGACTTAAAAACAAGCCATCACAGATTCCACTGGGCTGCTCTGAGGAACGGGATTGCTGCGTGTTAATGCCCTGGTGAGCGGCATGTGCACCCCCACCCCCACCCCCAGGAACGCTCCGCCCTCAGCAGACAAGCCCGCTGCGCGCCGTCTGGGTCCCACTCACCTACCGCGCCCTGCTCTCCGCTGAGGCTGTGTGCAGTGATTTAACTTGTCAAAACAACACCCTCTGTTAGTTTAAAATGTTTCCTTTCCTTTAAAAACATCTCCCGTTACTTCATTCTACTCTCCAGGTTTCCTTTCCGACTTTTACCTCTTCCCCTGCACATACACCGTGGCGTATGGCTCCCCTTCTCTCATGCCACAGCCGCGGTAGTTGGGGGTTTGGCCTGTTTGTGTTCATCTACGACTGCGTGTTATCTCACGGTCACCGGGACTCCTTCCTCAGTGCTCACTGAGTGCTCCTGCTCATTTCCACTGATTCCTCCTGCTTCAGCCGTTTCCGCCACTTCCCTGCAGCCCCGCCCTGTGCCTGCGCCCCCACCTGCGCCCCCAACCGCCTGTGTCCCTCACCCTGTGCCCCTCCCCCCTGCGCCCCCTCCCGCCTGTTCTCACCCTCCTGCACTGTCTCCCCAGAGCTTCCCACGTGCCATTACTAACAACCAGACAGGCAGGGGGCACATGCCCACAGGTGCAGACCGAGCAGCGGAGGGAGCACAGCGAGCTGCCCGGGTCACAGCCAGCACAGGAGGCCCCGCGCCCGCCCAGGGCCACACTCTCTCCACGAGTGTCCCGCGGAGGGCAGGGTCACGGGAGAACGGGCACACAAATGAAACCTGGCAAATCCAAGTTCAACAGGCTTCCTCAGGGGCAGGCGCTCTGACCCTGGGTGTGCAGAGGAGATGGACGTGGCGTGTTCCCGTGTCCCGGACCGGGGCAGGCGGCTGGTTTTACTGCTCGGGGAGAAGTCCCCGGGCCCACGTTCCGGAAGCGAGCCCTGAGAGACGCGCCTCGCCGTGCTCCGTCCGTGTCGCAGGGACGACTCACCGCACGGGCAGGGCCTTGGTGGTCTGCTCCGGCAGCTCGGGCGGGTTCACGAACATCAGCTTGAGGAGCAGCTCCAGGTACCCGATGTGCCTGGCCAGCCTGGTGCTGAGCGCCCAGGCCCAGTTCCAGCTCTCGCCTTCCCTCCGGCCGCCGAAGTAAATGACGGTGAAGAAGATGTACAGCAGAGCCAGGCAGCTCAGCGCCACGGCCACGCCGAGGGTCAGGTCCACCGTGAAGGCGAACAGCAGGCCAAGGCCCCCGCACAGCAGCAGCGTCAGGACCACCACCAGCCACGAGAACTGGAAGAGGGGCTCCACCTGCTGGCCCGCGAAGGTCTTCATCTCATCTGGAGAGAGCGGACAGCGTCAGTCCTGCTTCAGGCGCCAGCTCCTCGCCTCACACCCGCACCCATGCCAGCCCCTCTGCCTCCCGGGGAGACGCACATCCGTCAGGCGCTTCCTCCGTCAGTGTTGTCGTGTTTGTGTTTTGTGGTTTGTATTATACAAGCAACAACTGTTGTCTCCGGATGTAGATGGAAAACCACTCGTACTCTGCTTTCTCTTCATAAGTAACACCTCCATCCGCTCCTCCCCGAGCCCTCCTCCCCCCTCTCCTGCCAACCGCATTTGAGAGTCACAGCTCTTAAGGGTGTGCTGAGCCCAGGGGAGCTCAAACAACTCATTCTACACTTGATCTTAGCCAAAAGGCCGAGAAGCGATCAAATAATAATAACTCATTCTTTCTAGCAGCTGCACAGGTGCCCGCACACAAGACTCTTCACAAAACTGCCACCGCCCGCGAGAGCCTCGCTGTGCACAGGCGGGAACACTGACCCTCCAGCTTCCTGAGCAGGAAGGACTTGCCGCTGCCCCACTGCGCGTACAGCCCCACGCAGATGGGCGGCTGCATGGTGGGCTCGCTGAGGATGTCCGCCAGCGCGCTGCTGTACAGGTCGTAGCCCAGCATGTCGCCGTCCGTCTCCGTGGGCGACAGGTGTCCTGTAGGGATAACCACCAGGGCCTTGCGTGAGACATTGTAAGGAAACATCACTTCCTACCTATCGTCCATTTAATCAGTAAAAACTCATTTAAATGGCTAGACCTGTGTAAGGACAGGTTCCGATGCTCTTAAGTTAACGCCATGTTTACAGACCTCAGGAAGCCTGCTGAGTGTGGGACGCAGCATGATCCTGTACAACCCGGAGAGGAAAAACGCTCCCACTTGTGGCGCAAGGCGGAATTCCTGGCCCGACGCCAGGCGCATCCAGTCTGAGAGGCCGAGTGCGGAGCACGGTGCACCCGGAACAAGCATGTGTGACAGCTGCACACGGGAGCGGCTCCGCCACGGAGACACGGCCCTCAGCGGCTCCCGGACTGACAGGCATCAGCTCTCCCCAAGCTAACCCGTCACTTCAAGGCACTTCCCATCAAAACCCAAGAGAATATTTTAAAAACTGAAAAGCAGACATGTGGAAGTAGGTAAGAAACAATGTTAAAGACTACGAAGGCAGCTGTCCATAAAGTTACAGTAATTAACACATCACAGAACTCGCCCAGGATGCAAACATAAACTTTCAAACCAGCGCCCAGTGTCGGCCGCAGGGACCTCCCGGCACTCACTGGCCCCGAAGATCTGCGTCAGGATGCTCTTCTGGTGGCTGCAGTCGATGTTGTAGGGCGTCTCGCCCGCCTTGTTGGGCCGGTAGAGCAGCCGGCCGTCCTTGGGGTTCCTCAGGAGCATCTCTGCCAGCTTCCGGCTCCTCCCGCGGATGGCGATGTGCAGGGGAGTGTCTCCTTTCTGTGGGGGGGGGGGGGGAGCCAGAGGAACAACCCTCGCCTTCCGCAAAACCACTGCAAGGCCGCCTGTGCCCTGCCCAGACCCAGCGCGGGAACTTCCCGCTCCTGCCCCCACCCCCCAAATGGTCTGGCCCTCTCTTCTCCGCCGCCGGGGTCACGAGGAAAAGCAGCAGCTCCTCCTGCCCCCCATCCCTCCCAAACACACTCCTGTCTCCCAAACACTCCTGTCTCCTCCGCGGGGGGAGGGGGGTCACAAGGAAAAGCAGCAGCTCCTCCTGCCCCCACCCCCACCCCCCAAACACACGGCCTCCTGTCTCCTCCGCGGGGGGAGGGGGGTCACAAGGAAGCAGAGGCTAGCGTCCACCTGCTTCACCCCTGCTGCCGTCTGTCTCCCCACACCCCTGCTGCCGCCCGTGTGCCATGAGCAGGGAGCACGGCGAGGTGAGGGGAACCCCTCCCTCCGGGACGCCAGGCCGTCTTCCCCGAGACTTCCTCTCCGGCCCCTGGGGCCTGCCCGCTGTGCATCTGCAGCAGCTCTGCCCCCACGGCTCCTGGTCCGCAGCCAGGGGCCACCCCCACCCCCCCGGTGCCCCCCAGCGATCTCTCCCGCACACACAGGTCAGCCGCCCCGCCCGCGCTCACCCTGTCCACGGCAGACACCTTGGCCCCCTTGTCCAGCAGCAGCTCCACCACCTCGATGTTCCGCATCTTGGTGGCCTTTATCAGCGGCGTCTCGCCATCCTGCGGGCACAGAGGAAGGTGTCACCGGGACAGCTCCCTCCTACACGTCTGAGGTCACATCACACATCTGTAGGAACTCCGTCATTGGACTCCGGCAGACTCTACATTAATGTTCCCAAGAAACAGCCGTAAAAACCAGCACGTGCTCTGCCTGTCACAACCAGTCTTCCGTGTCAGGATAACTCGCCGTCACTCAGCCGAGTATGCGATGGCCCATTACTGCCCGCACTGCGGCCGACCTGCCCTTCCTCCCCAAAGTCAGTGAAAACGTATTACAGAGAAGAACGGAGGTCAGGGGCCCCTCTGCCCTGGCAGAGGGCGGCATCGCTGCCTCAGAAAGGTGCCGTCCGTCCTGGAGATGAAGGGCCGTGTCGTTAAGAGTTCTCCCATGTCACTCAGCTGAGGCGCTCCGTGCCACGGTCTCGCCGGTGTGAGTGACAGCCCGCAGCGCCCGCTCCGGGAGCCATGCCCGCTCGCAGGGCCTCGGAGGACATGTGTGTGCCCCACACACGGGCAGGAGCCAATTCTGCGGAATGACTGTCCACGCTGACACTGACTAACGCAAGAAACACTACGCCTTCCTGTGACACACAACCCCTGACAGGATCACAGCGCTCCTCAAAGCCGTGGGAGAATCACCGGTGACATCAGCGTCCTTCCAGCGTCAAGCACACAGGCCTGACGGGCTGGCGAGGCGGAGGCCGGCCTACCTTGGTGCATATTTCCGTGTCGGGATTGCACTGCAGGATGTCTCTCACCATGGTCGCGTTTCCTTTCTCCACAGCCCAGTACAGAGCAGTTTTATTGTCCTATGAATATAAAATCAGTGATGGCTGATTGCGCGATGCATGCTTTAACATGCTACGGCACATAGGAGGAACCTTCCTGCCGGACAGCAGTGGGAGGCGCACCCACAGCGGCGTGGCGGGAGCACAGGACCCCCGCCCCCGCCCCCGCCCCCCCCCCCCCGCCCGCACGCACCTGCCCCCGGATGTCGATGTCGGCGTACTTCTGGAGCAGCGCGCGGACGATCTCCACGTGGCCGCCTCTGACGGCGCCGATCAGCACGGTGTCCCCGCTCTGCAGACAAGACCGCAGGGGTGAGGCGGCAGGCGGACACGCTGAGGTCAGGTCAGCACGTACGACACGGCCGCTCTTCCAGAGGCCTCTCTGGGCAGGAGGACTCGGAGGAACTGAAGGCCACACCCCAGAGCCAGGCCCTGGAGCAGGAAGCCGCTCGGGGGCGCTGAGACGGGAGGCCGCCTCCCTCGGCGTCCCGGCGCCGGCACCTACCCTGTCGGGGATGTTCACGTAGGTGCCGGCGTCCAGCAGGTCCTGCACGATGTCCGTGTGGCCCTCCTTGGACGCGATCATCAGCGCGGTGTTCCCGTCCTTGTCCGTCAGGTTCACGTTGGGGTTCCTCTTCAAGATCTCCTTTACGGACTGGGTGTAGCCGCCTTTCACAGCCACGATAAGTGCGGTCATGGAGTTCTAAGCAGAAACCAGCCGAGAAATGAGTGTCTCCCAGAAAACGTGATTCTGCCACAGTAACACAACCGTGTTTCCAGAAGGTGGCCCAACAGCTGTTTCTGACAATAAAGCATCAACAGAAATAACCAAGTGCCAGGAGGCGTGCTTCCTGCTTTGGAAAAAACTCACCCTCCCGAGCCCACAGGATCCCAGTGTGACCGGCCGCGGCCCGTCCACCATGAACACGCTCTCCCACAGGCGACGGAGAGGACCCACAATGAAACACGTTCTAAACTAAATCATCCCAGTAAGGCCTTTCAGACTTCAAACAAAGAACTGTTTATAACAAAATCTATGGGGGAGGGGGAGGACTGAAAACAAAGACAATAACTACAGGCTATTTCTTTAAAAGTATATTCTTCCTTTTTACAGAGATCTAGAAGGCCCATTTTCAAAGACTCTTATTCCAGAGGTTCTATAAAAATGGCACATCTAGTTTATAACAGGAAATCACCAGCACAAATTTTATGGGCATTAGCAACAGATCCTTCAGAGCAAAACTCACAAAATACCTGAATGTAACCCTCTCATCAGCCTAACAGAAAGGATGCTGGTTCTCTAAGAGTCAGCGAGAACGTAGGCTGCGTCTCAGGGGCTAAGAGGAAAAGACTCTCTGAAAACGGCGAACAGGCTGTGAGCGGCGGCGAGAGCAGGTAGGTACGCACCGCGCCTTCTTGGTCCACGTCAGCTCCCATGGCCAGCAGGTGCTTCACGCAGTCCAGGTGGCCCTTGCGCGCGGCCCAGACCAGAGGGGTGGTTCCGTACTGCGGGGCAGAGGCAGGCCAACGTCAGGACGTGCTCAGGGAGCGAGCCCTGCAGTCTGAGCGTCAGACTGGAGTGTTCCCAGGTTACTGCGTGCAGCGTCGTAATTTCCATTGCAGCTAAACCATAATCCCCTTTATTTATCCAGGCTAGGGGATTAACCACTGCATGAAGTATCTCTAACCAGCTTTATCTTTTATAATCAGTGACTGAGTTTCCCATCATAGTCATACGCTCTGATTTCTCACAAGCCCCCACTGATTCCACATCATGTGAAGCACAATTTAAAGTTCACAGTGTGCCTCCGGGGGAAACGGTAACAGGAAGTGCCGGACACGTTCTCCCGGCCTCGTGTGTGAGCCCGTGGGCTCGGGTCAGGTCATGCGAGCAAGTGGCACTGTCGCATTTCCCAGATCAGCAACGAGGCCGGGACGCAGTGGTGGGCTCCACGTCACCAAGCTATTAATTAGGAGGTGGAGTGGGACCCTGAACCCCAGCCTGGCTCAGTCCGGCTCTTACCCACACCCCATCCGCTCTGCCCCGGAAGGGAAGCTGCAGCCTCGGAGCGGCACTCACACCCTCTGGCTGGAACACGATGCAGAAGGCATCGGACATAACTCGGCAGGAGCCAGCCATGCTCTGCCTTGGGGAGCGCGGCGGTGGCCAGAGCCAGGGCCACACAGGGACCTTCAGCTCCAGGAGCCCGCAGGCCGCCCGAGCCTCTGCCTGCGCCCCGGTGCTGTGCTGTGGAAACGCCCATCACTCTGCACAGCCCACGGCAGCCGCCCATCCCCTACGGTACTGAGGCCTGAGCTGGGCAGGGACTATTTCGTTTTATCTACTTTAGCTGATTTCAGCCTAGGCAGCTATGCGGCCGGTGGCCACTGAGCGGAGGTACCACCCGTGGTCACATCAGACACCCCAGGAACCACAGCTACAAGCTGCAGCCGGCCCTCCCTGGGGCAGGCCTCTGACGGCAGCCCGGGCGCCATGCCCGTGGGGGGAGGAGCCTGCAGAGGGCGGGCGGGCAGCGGTCCAGGCCACCCATGGAGCAACCTCAGGGATGGAGATGGAACACTGGAGGAACTTCCTCAGTTCAAAATGCTTGGCATCTTCAGAGGCGCTGTGGCTGGGCGCTCCTCCTGTGGGCACTCCTCCCTTCCAGAGCGGCCTACCCCGGACATCTGCTCCACACCCACCCCGGCCCTCCCCCGCCCTCACCTACTCAGCAGGGAGCTCTCACTGCGCAGGGTTCCTGCACGCGGTGCTTGGACCGCCTCAGGAAGTCCCCCTGTCCCCGAAGCCTGGCCCCTCGCCCCAGGAACTAACCACTCTGCGGGCACTGCGGCCCTCTTTCCCTTTTCATCCGGAAGCGTGCCCGGTAATCTCCTCCCGCGCCCGAGCAGCCTGAGACCTGGGAGCCCTGTGACTCACACACCGAGGGACACCACGTGGGCGAGCCTGAGGGGTGGCTGACTACCTTGTCGGAGCAGTTGACCTTGGCGCCGTTCTGCAGCAGCAGCTGCACTATGTCCGCGTGGCCTCTGCCCGCTGCCCAGATGATGGGGTAGACGCTGTACTGTTGGCGGAAGGCGGGCAGGCAGGGGGGAGACAGAAGGGGGCAGGGGGAACGGCAGGGGGAGAGGGAAAGAAAACCTTTAGGCAGATGTCACAGCACACGTGTGCTAAGAAAAGTAAATAATAAATGGATAATATGAAGTAATATTTTTAAAATCAGGTTACAGACCATGGTCTGCTTTAAAAACACAGCACTCTAACATAATTGGCACTAAGACGCACCCCGCCTTAAATAAATATATGCCCTGAGCACACTTATTCTCAGTTTCAGCACATTTAACGGATTATCTGGCCAACAGGCATGAGAAACTTTTCTTACATAATCCTTCCACTAACTTGAATAAAAGTTCTTTGTTTCAACTTTATTGAGGCATAGGGGACAAAACTGGGAGCGAGTTAAGTGTACACTATTTGATATACCATCAATAAAACAGTTTCCTAATCTGCAATCTGAGATCAAGTCGTACACAAAGTAGTAATGAATATATCGCATCTGTAAGACACAGAAAAATGTCTTTTAAAAAAAAAAAAATGTAGATCGAGATACAGGTCCACAGAACACAGGCACGAGGGCTCAGGCATTTCGGGACTCCTTCCCATGTCAGATGGCTATCATTCACATGGAAGTTCAGTGTTGATACAAAGTAAGCCACAGCTGAGCTTGAGAATGAACTTCTCATGAGCTCGAGTTCCCCTCTTCTGCTTCTCTTTAGCAGACCAGGATCACTCTGCCGCCCTGCAGCCCACAGTCACTCAGCGCCCGTCTGCCCTCCGGCCCCTCCCGGCCCCTCCCGGCCCTGCAGACGCGGTGCGCATGCTTACCAGGCCGGTGACGTTGGGGTTGGCTCCGTGCGAGAGCAGCAGCTCCACCACATCAGTCCGGCCCTTGTAACAGGCCCACATCAGCGCCGTCCATCCGCCCTGGAGAGAGGGGAGGGGCACGATGCCGGGTGGTCTCCAGCACAGAAAGGCCAGGAATTACAGAGCTGGATTCAGGCAAGTCTCACATCGCCAATATTTAATCTCTAAAATGCCTGCCCACGTTGTTTTAATTCCATGCCCACTTTAATTTATACAATGTCATCCTATGCAAGACTACGAGATAAAAATTTTATCTGGAGAAAACCATGTCCAAGTTTGCAAAGTGAAAAGTCTGGAACCGACCGCCTTCAGCACAAGTTGTGGCAGGTCGGCCGCTGAGGGTCTCTCAGGAAAGAACCCATGGACTTCCTGACGTCATACGCTGACGGTCCCACCCCAGGGATCCTCTCCTACCAAGTCCAGGACCATGCCTTCCCCGAAGCTCGGCGGCTACTGCCACCCCCGCTCCCCGGGCCACGCCGATACTGAGGGAGACACAGTCCTGTTCCCCGATCTCTGTGTAAAGGTTTACACGCTGAAAGGCGTGGTGATCATTACTTGGGGGAACGAGAAGCATGGAGAACCTGAAGGGCTTAGGAAACCATCTGCCACAGTCTGACTGAACTCTGCATGGTCATGGTGCGTCTGCGCACTTCCTGACTCCCTTGCAGACATGGGTTCCAAACTCAGCCTGCCTGCTCATCGCTGAGGGCCTGGCCCAGGGCGCGCCCTCAGGCTCATTCCCCAGCCCCGGGCACTGCCCATAGGAACCCTCTAGAACACAGCAGGGAGGGCGAGGTGGGATGCTGCAGATTCTTAAAAGCTCAGACCACCTGCACGAAGCAGCATGGCGAACAACACGCTTTCTTTATGAGGGCAGAGCAGCTCCTCTATTATTACAGTGAACTTCCCAAAAGACCAAAAATTCTGCAGAAATAAGCCAAAAATGACCCCTTTCCTAACCCTTATGCTTTAAGCAGATGCCAAGATTAAATAAGAGCTAAGATAATTAAGATTCACATCTTACTGAGCTTATAATGTATAGATGGCATGTCCGAACACAATTACACTTTAAAAATAAGTTTATAAACGTAATTCTGAAAATTATGACTAAATAACTGAAAATATGTTTTAAATGTACTATGTCCCTCTTAAAACTCCTCTTAAGGGAAAAACTCTCTCCTAAGTTCTGACATACTAAACGGTAGTGAGTATTTTTAACAATATTTCAGAATTTTAACCTCCACCATGAACTGGAGGTGGTGACAGAGGACATCTAAAAGAGGTGGATTTAACACCACTTGGGCTTAAACATTCGGAGGGTCCCTTCAGGGACACCCTCAGACACGCTGTCACCCGCCAGCGCTCTCCCACGGTCCCGCTGACGGTGAGGGGGCCGCGTGCCCACCATGTCGCGGTGCTCCAGGTTCGCCCCGCACTTGAGCAGCTCGTCCACGACGTGCAGGTGCCCTTCCTTGGCGGCCGATATGAGCGCGGTCCAGTTGTCCTGGAACACAAGACACATTTCCCGTTTCAAACCCAAGCGGCGCTCAAAACGAGGACAAAACGAGGCACCGGAGAGGGGACTGCGCACCAGCACAGGGTCATGCCAGGCGCCATTTACCACGGGCTCTGGCGTGGCCTGATGGCCCAGTGCGGAGGGGGAAAGGGAGTGTCTGCCTGCCTGAACCACCACAGCGCAGAATGGCTCCACAGCTGCTTGCTCAGTCTTTTCCCCAGACGTCTAATCACACCCTGGCTTTCCAAGAGGAGAGGAGATGCCCAGCAAAACCTCAGCTAATCCTGCGGCTACCAGCCGTCGCTCTAAAGGCAAGTAAAGACCGTGACGAGACTTAAGGTCACGCTCGCAGGCGGGCAAACTAAAGCGATCCATGATGAGTTTAGAAACCGTGCGATAAAGAAATCACTGTCCTTTATTTTTTAAGGAAAGGCTATAAGTATCCTATCCTAACTTTTATTAATGAGTGTAATTTAACTCAAATGACCAATAAAAATCATCAACTGAAAATAATCTATTAAAAAAAACCCACAGATGTAATCCCTGTCAGCTTTTCTCAGTGGACAGAGCATCAGCCTGCGGACTGAAGGGTCCCAGGTTTGACTCTGGCCAAGGCTTCAACCCTGAAGGGTCCCAGGTTTGATTCTGCCTTCCGGTAGGAGGCAGCCGATCAATGATTCTCTCTCATCATTGATGTTTCTATCTTTCCCTCTCCCTTCTCCTCTGAAATCAATAAAAATATAAAATAAAATAAACAGATGTAGGTACGTAACCCTAAAAAAATAATTCCTGGGAAACAGCAAGAGAAAGGAGAGCCTCTGGAACAGTGATTACCCCCAGAAGTGGGATCAGAAGGCTCTGCATCTCCAGCTGGAATCATGTTATGACGTTTATAACAGCAGCTAGTGCTAGGAGGAATAACTGATAATGACTCCTGCGTGGCTATTTCTTAGGCAGGTGTTTGATTTCATGTGTGTGTGCTCCCTATTCACAGTGCCTTCTACATATGACAACACGGAGAGCTGAGAACTTGCATTCAAAGTAAAAATTTCTCTCCCTTTTTAAAAAATTAACAGCGATTAGGAGAAGTTGCTATGTAACAGACAGTGTAATTGGTCACCTATTAGTCTGGAATCATTTCACCCAGCAAACAGCCAGCTAAGGAAAAGAGACGCCCGTGCGTGCACGTGTGCGGTAGGTACCAGGTCTTCCAGGTTGCAGTTGGCTCCATTCTTGATCAGCTCCTTCACGATCTCCAGGTTGCCCTGCTCGGCAGCGATCATCAGCGGGGTCTGGCCGCACTGGGGACAGAGGACACGTGCTGGTGAAGGCTGTGCAGGACCGAGAGGCCTGAGCACACGCTCTCCTTCCACAGCGAGACGCCAGCTCTGTGAACAGGGTGTCTAACTCACAAACACCTTGGAAGTCTTAAGTTTTCCATTTACTGACGATGTGAAAATCAGAGAGAGGACAAAGCTTTTCTTTACGACAGCATGATGAGCCTGTTAGCAGTCCTGCAATGTCACTCCGAATCTGTAAATATGGTTAGTGCTAGCCTCTGAAAGTAACTGCCACAATGTCACAAAAATCTCAGGACATCAATGAACCAAACTCTAACACTAAGTTACATTATGATACACAACGTGGCTCTAATAACACGTTAGGTGTACTGTCAGGACTAAAGGGAGAAAGGCGCACACATATACACATACATGTATATGTGAAAACTACAATAACTTTGATCTTATCCACTGGCAAAAAGAAAAAATTATGCTACATGGAAAATACAGTTTTAAGAAGCAGAATTATTTTTATTACTATGTTTTATAAAATGAGTACATACTTGGCCATTAAAAATTCATACAGAGCCGGGACCGGTTTGTCTCAATGGATAGAGCATCGGCTTGGGGACTGAAAGGTCCCCGGTTCGATTCCGGTCAAGGGCATGTACCTTGGTTGCGGGCATATTCCCAGTGGGGGGTATGCAAGAGGCAGCTGATCGATGGCTCTCTCTCATCGATGTTTCTAACTCTCTATCTCTCTCCCTTCCTCTCTGTATAAAATCAATAAAATATATATTTTTAAAAATTCATACAGAAAGTCTATGAACCCATAAAGTGTTGCAGCTGTTCATGATGAGCTAAGATCAACACTTTATTTATATTCCCCAGTCTACTGTTGACTAGAAATATCTACTACACATTAATGAAATGGTAAGTGTATACTTCCCTGTCTTCTTAAATAGAACTTAACTCTCTCTTAAAGGTACAGGGCCTTTAAAATCCCAAGGCGTATGGCATGGACAACTCAGAAAGGTAACCGGGGCTCCATTTCAAAGTCCTAATTCTGTTTGGCTCATCAATTTATAGAACCTTTCTGAAGCGTCTTAGAAGCCCTTCAGATTTCAGTAATCAAACTTCCTGAATATTGATTATTCCGTCTGCAAAAAAAGGCAATCATAGATCTAAATTCAATGCACAATAATGTAAGTTCAAATGCATTCCAAAAACATGGGTTGGAAGTACGTTAACTACCAGAAATGGGCATTATTTGAAGTCAGTGTCACGAGGGAGGAACCCATCTTGCTTACTAGCTCGCCGTGACGGGCCCACGGCCTGCACACGGGCACCCGCGGCCTCACCTCGTTTCTCTCGTCCACGTCTTTGCATTTCTCCAGAAGAGCTTTCAGGGCGGGGATGTTTTCCTCCTCCACGTAACTGATCACACTCTGCGATATCAGGACCGACATGGTGGCAGGAAGCGCGGTGTCTAGCCCAGCACCTGTGTGAGCAGACAGACACACACACAGAAGCTGTGATCAGAAAAACGGCACCTTGGCCTGTGCAGATCCCCTCCACGGCAGGACGGACGGGCGGACGGACGGGTGGACGGCAGAGCGCCCGCTCAGCTGGCGAAACGCCGCCCTGGCTTTCCAAGGCTCACGCTCCCCTCAATCCAACTCACCCCCCCGCTCCCAACTCCAGACCCACCGTCCTCCCAGTGAAGGAGGCGCTCCCCGGCTCCCCGGCCGTCCTCCCGCCTCAGTCCAGGCAGCTCCAGCTCCTTCTTCCAGGCCCAGGCCTGCCTAGGTCTCCCTCAGCCTCTCCGCTGCGTCCCCTCCGAGCACACCCTCCTGGTCCCACCGAGCACAGATCTCAGACCCGATGGCTCCTCACCACCATCCCAACCCCTGGGCCCGCAGCCGTGACCTGCGCCCACATCCCCGGCCTCCCCATTCCGCTTCGCCTCCCACAGCCCACCCCGCGGGACCCGGGCTCGGAGCAGCACGGCTGCGCCAGAAGCACCTGCAGGCCGTGTGACACAGCGGCCCGCCGTCGCTCAGAGCCGGCACAGGTCTGGGGAGCCCTGGGTCTGTAACCAGCCGGAGCCAGCCCTGCCGTGCTGCGGAGCCGGAGCCGCTGCTGAAGAGCCACCTTGAGCAGCGCTGAGCCCGACGACCCTCCCTCCTTGCTCCCAGCCCTCCAGCGGCCCCTCAGAGCAACAAGGCGGCCCTGCCCGTTCCCTTCGGCCTGCGTGGCCTGGAGTCCACTCTGACCTCGTCTCCTCCCCCCCTCGCCATCTCACCCCGTGGGCGGACAGCACTGCCCAGACCCACACGGCCGCCCCCCAGCCTCGGTCCCCTCACCAGGACCGGCTGCCCATGTCCGGTAAAACAGGGACCTCACACTTACTGCACAGCGGTCCCGGCCCCCCATCTGCCCGACTCTGTTCTCCGTGGCACTTGCCACCATCACCACACAACAGGGTGCGTTTACTGCCACTCGGCACAACCAGAATACAAGCTCCAAAGTGCAGGAATTTCCTTTTATTCAACCAGACATTCAAAAGCGAATAAACAAACAAACCTCAGCTCATTCATGCCTTACACCAAAGACACATACTAATGCAAAGTGGACCTAAATGTCACACCAAAAGCACAAAACGTCCAGGAGAAAACAGGCTATTTTGGATTAAGCAAAGATTTTTTTCGATATAACACTAACGCATGTTTTGTTAAAAAAAGGAAATTGAGAAATCAGAGCTCGCCAAAATGAAAGCGTTTGCTCTGCTCAGAGAAACCTGTTCGGGACTGGTGACAACCGTCCCGCTCGGACAGGGGTCTGCGCCGGCTCCCAGCCCGCCCTGCACTGCGCCTCACAGCACAAGCTTTCTCTCGAGGGTCACAGGTCACGGTGGACAGGAAGCAGGCCACGGGACAGACTACATACCCAGAGCCTCACCCCGCCTGAGTAGAGGGTGGGAATTGGAACGTTTAAGCTGAAGAAGAGGCTTTGGACGCTGAGTTGAGCCTGCGGTGCGCTGAGACTTTGGGGGCCTTGGGATGGGGTGAATGTGGGGTGCGTGTGGGATGGAAGCCTCTCTCTGGGGCCAGAAGACAGGAGGTCCTGCACTGCATGATTCCATTTCTATGACATTCTAGAAAGGGAACACAAGACAGACAAAACCGGATCTGAAGTTGTTGGCTTGAAGGGGGAGGGGATGACTACCACGGGGTCCAGGAGAATCCAGGGAGCAGACTGTCGGATGCCCTCACTGGAGTAGTAATAACACAACTATATGGCTTTGCCAAAATTCAAAGCTTGACACTAAAACGTGAATTATAGTCTATGTAAATTACACCTGAGTGATACCTTACTTTTAAATAATCATCAATAAACGTTATGCTATTTGATCCAGTAACTTTACTCTAAGAATCAATTCTAGAAACACAGACACGTGGAGAAAGATTTTAAATACATCACAATTTTAGTCGTGAGTACAAAAATCTTAGAGAGGGGGATTCCATAAATTATGATATATCCGCACAGTGGAAAGATACAGTCATCAAAATGGTCCCGAAGTATGTCCTGACAGAAAAATGCTTGTGATACATTAACTTAACTAAGAAAACTATCTATACAGCATCTCAATTATATAGATTTACATTTTTAAAAATTATTTTTAAATACAGAAATGACATCAATCTAAGTTTTACTTTCTTTAGAACCTTTAATTCCTAATCTCCTAGTTGGAAGCCAGTAAGAGACTTTGTTAACAATCATCACCACATCCAACGCCTCCATTTATTCCCATTCTTACGGGATCACATCTAACGCCTGTCAGGCTCCCAGGGCCTGGCTCTCCCTCCCTCTCCCTTTTACCAGCGCCCCCCTCCCCCCGAAGCCTGCCAGGCTGATGCTCCAGTGGCCCCTCGGCCCGGCTGCACCCCTCCTGTGTGGCAGGCTCACGCCCTCACTCTGCACACGGCGCCCACCCGATCCACGCAGCACCTCCTCTCAGGGCCCAGCAGGTGCCATCTCTGCCGTTGGCCTCCTGTGTCCGCCATCAGCCAGCCCCCCCTCAGCGCCTCGGCGCCGCCTTCCAGCTACACTTCATAGCCCTCCTGGCCGTGCAAGGCGCCGCCTTCCGCTAGCGGCCCTGGCCCCCTCCCAGCACCAGGCCGTGGGAAAGGCGGGCGCCCGGCCTGCACATGCCCGGGAATCCCCTCTATCGGCCGAACCCCCTCTCAGACAGACGGCGCCTACACAGACGGGGATATGGCTGCCGGCAGCCACCCAGCCCGAGTCCATCGCTCTCCACAACCAGAGGGAACGAGGATTTGTTCCAACTCCACGTCCCAGAAAAGGTCTGGCTACTCAGATGGGGTCAGGTGCCAGCCTGCAACGAGTCCACCACAGTCCCAGCCACAGTCACACGGTCACACGGCCACGGCCACAGTCACACGGCCAGGGTCATAGTCACCATCACACAGTCACACAGTCACAGTCACGGTAACGGCCACAGCCACAGCCACACAGACACAGTCACAGTCACACAGTCACAGTCACACAGTCACACAGTCACAGTCAGTCACGGCCACGGCCACAGTCAGTCACACAGACACAGTCACAGTCACAGTCACGGCCACAGCCACAGTCACGCAGACACAGTCAGTCATGGCCACAGGCTGGGAGGCATCACAGGTCACCGGTGCGGGCACTGCTTCCAGCGAAGCAGAGACCGTTGTGGCCGAGGCGCCTGTCCTGTAACACCTGTCACTGAGTCAGCGTGAGGGTCCCCTCCACCCCCCTCTCCTGTCCTTCCCTCCAGTCCGGTGCCACACTGAGCCTGAGGAATGGAGAACCCTTCCGTCAGCCGTTATTCCCGCCGGGAGCAGAGACCGTGGCTGTGCTCTCACGGAGACTCTCGGACCCGAACCCCTGAGGCCTTCCAAAGCTGCAGTAAAGGGCGGCGTGCGGTTCTAGGGTGGGCTCCGCTCCCCGCAGAGCGGTGAGGGTCTTGATGACCCTTCCCAGTCTGGCCCCTCACCTGTCCTCCACCTCCTCTCCCTGCACCCAAGCCCGCTTCCCCACTCACAGCCTCACACCAGCTGCAGCCACACCCACCTCCCGGGCTGCTCAGTCCGGGCCTTTGCTTACTGCCCGCCTCCTCCAAGGCCCACCCAGGGCAGCTGCACAGCAGGCCCCCGGCCGCCCCCCCGCCCCAGGCCCCACTCACTCCCACTCGGCAGGGCCGCTCCAGGCTGCCCACACCTAAGCTCACCCACCCCACCCTCCTCCTCCCCCGTCCACACGCCCCTCCGACGGCTCCCGAGGGCGGGGCCGCCTTCAGGGCTGCGCAGGAGAACCGGCCCTCCCAGGGCAGCAGCACCAGAGGCGGCGGCTCTGACCGCCGTGCCCTGCGGGACAAAGCCTCTGGGAAACCAGGTCTGAGCGGACGGGAACGGCCTGGCCCAGCCCCGGCAAGGCTCTCCCCAAGCCCCGAGCCAGGCCCCGCCGCCGGGCCTCCCTGCGAGCTCACCGCCTGCGGCCGTCGCCGGGCTGGTTCTTGGCCGCGGGTCCCGGGACCCGCCTCTGATGGCGGCCCGGCGGGTGGGGAAGGGGCTGGCACACGTGCCCACGGGCGCCATCAGCTACGCCCACGGCACTGAGCCCGGCCCCGGACTGGCCCCGGCCCCGCGCCGCCCGCCTCGTCCCCCGCCGGCGCCCGCGCCCGGTCCCGCCCCCCGGCCGCCCGCGCCCGGTCTTTGTCTCCCTCCCCCCCCCCCCCCCGGCCGGCGGAGAACAAAGGCGCCCGGCCCGGCCTCTGCCCCGGCGGCGGCGCCCCAGACACGGCCCGGCCCGGGCCCGGGGGCGGACAAAGGGCGGCCTCCGGGGGGCGCGGCCCGGCACCCGGGCGCGGGGGCGCGGGGGGCGCGGGGCCGGCGGGCGGGCGGGCGGGCAGCGCAGCCGGCGCCCCTGGCGGCCGCGGGGAGGGCTGCAGGGCGCCGGGGCGGCGGCTCCGCGGGCCTGGTCCGGGCGCCTGGGCCCGGGGGCCGGGGTGACAGCGCCGCCGGCGGAGCGCCGACTCCGTCCCCAGGAACAAGCCGCGCCCGCGGCCTCCCCGCCGCCCGGCCCCCCGCGGCCCTCCCCGCCCGCACCCGAGCCCGCCCGCCTCACTGACCGTCTGGCCGCGGGCCCGGCAGCCCCGGGGAGGCAGCCCGCGGCGCGGTCAGCACACGGGAGTCGGCGGGAGCGCGACGCCCTTCACACGCCCGGCGGCCATTTCCCCGTCCGCCCCAACTGACAGGTCACGTGCCCGCGGAGGGCGGGGCTTCCGGTGGCCACGCCCCGGGCGGGCCGAGGGCGCGGCAGTGCGCGTGCGCGAGGCCAGCTGCTGGGGGCCTGGGTGCGTCCGGCCCCGCCGCCCTCACTCCTTCCTCTGGCCTCGGAATAGCTGTGACTTTTT